TGTGTGTGTGTGTGTGTGTGTGTGTGTGTGTGTGTGTGTGTGTGTGTGTTGGGTCAGGAAAGTCTGAGGGATGTCAGTTTGTTGGAGGTGGGGGGAGAGAACAGGGAGGTTTTTGTTGTTTTTTTTTTTCAGTGTGTTTTGTTAAAAAAAGAAAAAAAAGATTTTCTTTTTTCTTCCCTTTTTTTTTGTCCTGGTTTCTTATGCTTGATCATCTCTCTCCTTGTTTAGATCCCTCTAGCTGAGATGGAGGCTCTGTCTCTGACGTCAGATATTCTGTCTGAACAGTCCTGCTCCTTAGCTCTGACGGATGATTCTTTGCCTGATGACACTCACACACTTTTACTTAGTGTCCTGGAAAGAAATGTACATACACAGACCCACTCACTTTCCCCCTTAGCTCTGTGTAGGGCTCTGAATACTGGCACTGGGGCTTTTCCTCTCTCCACCACCCCCCAACCCGTCCCCTTTCTCTCAAATCTTCCGGTTCTCATTCTTCACCCCAGATACATTAATTCAGTTACAGCTCTTGTGTTTTTGCCAAATTAACATCTCTCGCCAGCTCTTCTCCAGAGAGAGAGAGACACAAAGATTGAATGTGTGTGACCTTTTCCACAAGGAATACAGGGGAGAGTGGATAGGCATCAAAGTATTAACCTGGGTACCTTCCACACCCCTCTTTGGAACTGGCCCTGCCTGGCTGCAGAACCAGGCAACTGATGAAAGAAATAGTGTGTTCTGGAGACCCTAGACCTCTGCCCTAGGGGTTCAGATTCAGCCCCCTGTATTTGGAGCCCTGCCCAAGCTGTGCCCTCATCCCACTTTCCCTTCTTCTCCATACCTCTACTCCACCCTTCTCAATATTAGACATTCACCACTGTGTAGTGGGGCGGTGCTTTCTCCTCTGCTGTGACCAACATAATTTCTTTCCCCACTTTTGGAAAGGGACCATTCTTGTCTTCTTTGTAACACTCCATGTCTCTCACCTCCCACCCTAATTTCTGAGGACCTTTCTTTGTGTTGCTGATGAATCCTCCAGCCTCCCTTGTCTCTCCAGCCCTGTGTGACTCAGAACCTACTCCCCTTTCCCATCCCAATCATCCCCCGAATCAGATTTCCCATGGTTGTGGTGCAAAAGAAAGAAGAGGCCTCGGCAGCCCCTTGGGACTTGCTGGGGGAGGGAGGTGAGAAGAAGCTAGTTCCCAAATAAACCTTCCTTTTTCCAGTGCATCCCAGCTGCACCAGCAGAAATGCACTGGGCTAGGGCCTACAGCTACTGGGAACATTGCCACCGGTTGGAGGTCCCAAGGGGGGCTGTGGGTTATTGGCTTCAATTGAGCCCAGTGCCGGGGGACTGGGAGCTAAGGATACAGTCCTGTCCCAGGCTCGGACATCCTCAATCAAAGCCCTGAGTTAGTATTCTTGTCAGGTTGCTAAATTGGGAGCAAGGAAAACAAAACCCAGAACTGATGATGGGGCAGAGGAAGGAGACAGACCATAGTTATGTTTCTTGGTCCTGGGCAGCCAGCTTCCATCCTGCCTGGCCTCTGAAGCTGATGACTGACCTAGCATTGGAACTAAAACTAAAGTGCCTTCCTCCTCTCCTGGCCTAGACTCTCACTGGTCTCCCCTTCTCCTGTCCCCAACTCTCCTGCCACCTGCTCCCTATTGCTATAACCCCGGGACCACAAAATTGGTAAGGAAGGAGCTCAGGTGGGTGAGAGGTCAGGAACTCAGGTCCTAGTGGACATCTTTACAATGGTCCCTTGTCCTCTGGTTCCTAGGAGGCACTGATTTTCCTGTAATTGTCCCACTTGCTGTACCTCCACCAGGAGCTGGGAATGGGGGTGGGAGTGGAGGTGGGGGCAGGAGATGGAATTGAGACAGGAAAGGCTTTATGTGGCCTTCTGCTAAGCCTTGGGAGAAAGTGATTTAAAAATCATTCCATCTCTGGGTGAGACACTCAAGGAATGTTCAAGAGGAACTCTGTCCAACATCTTCATTTAGAAAGACCTATCCCTACAAAAACACTTGAGGTTCTGATCCTATGATCTTGGGTGACCTCTTTTATAATCCATAGACAGGGATATCTAAGCCTCCTTAAAATAAATAGTCTCCACCATCTTTTGATACACACACACACACACACACACACACACACACACACACACTCCTTTGCCATCTGGTGCTATGTATAAAAATATAGTGATATAAACTACAAACCTGGGGGCAAAGTTTCCTTCCCGCCCTGCCTCCTTCCTGAAAGCTCATTTGTCTCACTTTTCTGTCTCTGTGTCCCTTGTTGTTCCCTTTCCCCAAACTCTCTGACAGTGTGCATGCCCATTGTTCCTATCTGCTGGGGTGGGAATCTGGTTTCCAGCTGCCTAATTGTACCTTGGTGGCCAAAACCATGCACCTCCTCTTCCTCCCTCCCCTCCCACTTTCTTTTTCAGACTGTGACCCTTCCCCACTCTGAGGCTCTGGCCACTGGACCCTCTGCCCTCCAACCAAGTCTGCTAACTGTCCGGAAGTCGGGGGTCAGCAGGACCCACTCCTTGCCCAATGACAGCTACATGTTCCGAGATGAGGGCTCCTATCAGGGCTTCTTAGGGCAGAGGGCCTGGATGCTTCCCAAATCTCAGTCAGGTAGGAGCTCTAGGGGGATGGAGTGGCCAACCATGGCCTTCCTAAAGCAATCAATGGACATCAACTCAGGTTCATATTTCAGTCTTGTGCTGGACACCTGGGAGCATAGTAGAACAAAAAAGAATGCATGTGGTCCCCAGTCTCAGGAAGCTTCCAAGCCTTTTGGGAAAGAAAGATTACCCTCAGAGAGCTCCTGGTTTGCTGGGAGGGTCAGTCCTGGAGGAAGAAGTGCTCATCAGGATTTTAAACAAGGTTGTGATGGTTTAGTAGACGGAAGTGGGGCAGGATCTCACAGTTTGGGAGAATAGTAGGAACAAACCTCTTCGATAGCAGCAATGGAGATGGAAACAGAGAAGAGGTGTTAATGGGGGTGGGGGGTGGGGGTGGGAAAGTCAAGGAAGGTAGATTTCAGGACAGACATTCCTGATGCCTCTAACCTTCCTAACAACCCCACAGCAGGCTCAGCTACTTCTATCCACTCCCAGCCAGTAGATGCCAGAGCCCTCCTACAGCTTCCCAAAGATGGGTCCCACCAGCTTCAGCCCCATGACCTCTCCAACTGGGGCATAATCCCCAAACTTCCCCCACCGGGGTGCTCCCCTTCTGCACAGAGGCAGCTTCGGCGACAGGTGAGGGGAGGACTCCATCTCCCTTTGTCAGGTGGGAAAATGCAAAGGTTTTAGTAGGAGGTGTGTGTGTGTGTGTGTGTGTGAGAGAGAGAGAGAGAGAGAGAGAGAGAGAGAGAGAGAGCATTTGGGTCCTGGGTTCTCTACAGAGATTGGTCTAGAAATGATGAATAAACTCAGTCAGGAGAGACCTTAGCAATCGTCTAATCCAACTCCCTCATTTTACAGATGGGGAATCTGAGGCTGAGAAGCAGCTTGTACCAAGTACCTTAGGCAGGATTTGAACCCAGGCTTGTCTGACTCCACATGTTTCATTTGTGTCCTTTTAAAAGTGTGATTGTTACCTTGCGCAAGTCGCTAAACTTCCTTGGGCCTCAGTTTCCTGATCTGTAAAATGAAGGAGCTGGACTAGATGGCCTATGTTTTTTTCTTAATTTTAATTTGACAATGCTTGTGCATGCACGTACCCAGCTGTCTATATTTGTGTACAGGAGTGAGCACAGTGGGAAGGAGAGTAGAGCCTCATCTAGAGCAAGCTCCCTGTACTTTAACCAGGAGCCTCAGAGGAGACAGTGTGTTGTGTCATATTGGAAAGAGCATTGGGTCTGGAGTCAGAGAATCCCAAGCTGCTTACTTGTGTGACCTTGGGCAAATCACTTAATCTTCCCCTGGCCCTCAATTTTCCCAGCTGTAAGATAAGGGGTTTGAACTAGATGATCTCTCTGGCCCTTTCTGTCTGGCTCCTGGATTATTCTGTGACCCAAGTTGAAATCCCAGTTTGGCTGCTTGTCTTTTGTGTGACCTCATGCAAGTCATTTCCCTTCCTCTGGGTCTCAGTTTCTTTCTCTCTAAATCTTCTTATGCCTACTGCTGTAATAGTAATAATAACTCACATTTAAGTAGTGCTATAAGATTAATAAAGCACTAAACCTATATTATCTCATTTGATCCTCAAAACAACCTTATGAAGTAGGCACTATAATTATCCCCATTTTACAGATAAGGAAACTGAGTCTGAGAAATATTAAGTTACTTGCCCAGAGTTACATAGTACGTACAGTGAGCATCTGAGACAAGATTTGTTTGAGGTTCCCAACTCATCACTCTGCCCACCGCACCATCTAGAAAAAGAATAGGAACAACCTTTTAAAACCTCCAGAAACTTCTTCCTTAGTGTTTTATAATTCCAGTTCTAGAACTCTAGAGGTTCTAGAGGGCCTAAGCTAGATCTAATGTTTGTGGGTGGCAGAGGAACCTAGAACCTAGAAGATAGAAGTCAGGCTAAAGCAAGGTCGGCCCCCCAACCCCAGCTGGGGCTTTGTAAATACTGCAGTCCAGCATTCGGGGCCCTTATTGTGATTGCTGCCACGGATCTCCATGATTGGGAAGTAAATCAAGCCTGAGAATGGTTCTACTTCTTAAATTCCTTACTGGGGAAGAAGGGACAGTGCCCAGCCAAAGGCCTTGTTCCTGCTTCCTTCCCCTTCTCAGGTATGTTTCATAGGCTGACCCTATTTTCTTCCCTTCTACCGTCTCTCTTTTTCCCCTTCCCAAACCAGGCAGCAATAAGGGCTGATTCCCTGGACATGCAGGGTTTGGGCAGCAGGGAGGATGTTGTAACTGAGGTGAGTGTACCCTATACCATGCCTTCCCAAGATACTCCCAGCTGGGGCCGTTCCAGCATCAGAGTCCAGCAACGTCCTCGGAACCAATGCAAGAAATCCAAGCACATGCCACCAGCCCCCTGCCTGGGCACAGACCCTCTCCAGGACAGGTGCCAACCAGGCCACGAGGCATCGGAGACCATTAGCTGCCTGGAACTGCATGCCCAACCAAAATGGGGCTCAAGCCCCAGGCCCCAACATCCCCCGACTCCAAAGGGTGGAGAACATCTGAGAGACCTGAAGAAATGTTACAGTGCAGAGACACAGGGCCGCCCTCACCGGCCCACCTTGTGGCCAGATGAACAGAGGAGACACTCCATCGCTGTCAGCTCTCTGGATAGCTGTTCCCAGGCCTGCCCAGGCTCTGATGCCTTGAGCCTTGGAGGCCAGGAGCTGAGCAGGCCAGTGATAGGACCCAAAAGCTGGCCCAAGAAAAAACTGAGCCCTCCTTGCATCTCCATAGAACCACCTGAGAGCCAGGGTTCCCGGCCCTTGCCCAACCCAGGTGTCTGCCTCCGGCGCAGGGCTCCATCCAGTGACTCCAAGGACCCTTTGGCCCCTGACAGCATGGCCATCTCCTCACCCCCCCCAAAGAAAGACTTACTGATGCTCTCTAGTTTCTCCTCTGATCAGTTAGATCTGGAACCCTGAATCACCTTTCCCTTCCTCACTGGGCTCCACTGGGTGCCATATCTCTCCTTCTGGGCTATATCCTTGAAAAAGTTCAGTATAAACCAAGGAGAGTATCACTTCTATCATCCTAACAGGCATTGGATAAACAAACAAATACAACTTCCAAAGACAGTTTAAATGCAGCAGTTTGGGGTCATTATGGTGGCTGAGGAGCACCAGACAGAGTAAGGGGCTGGGCCAGGAAGTTCTTCCAGGTGCCCAAGAGTGATTGGGAGAAAGCAATATGTCTGTGCAGAATCTCTATGTATATTCTATTTTATTAAATTAATTGACTCTAGTATTTGCGGGATGTACGACATTTTGTGACTTAAGAGATTTTTGTTTTCCTCTTATTTTATGTGTCTCCTAATATTTCCGAGAAGGCATCTGTCTCTTGGCTATTTTAACTTAGAATAATCAGACTAGTTATAGTCCCTCTTCTTACAAAGCACAAGTTGTGACTGTGAGTGCATTAAGTCCCCAACTGTGACCCACCTTCGGCAAAGAGAGAGCAATTGATAGGGGAGAGAGAGAGAGAGAGAGAGAAACAGAGAGAGAAACAGAGAGTTTTGGAAACTAATGTAACTTTTTTCTCTTTAACCACATCATTGTTTTCTGAAGAGAAAAAAAGGTAATTTGGACAAAGAAGTCATTTTAAAAATGCAATGGAAACCTTTTTATATATACATATATATATATACATATATATAATAAAAAATGATTTTCCAAAGTAAAAGTTAATCACATTTCAGAATAAAAGTGGGGGGAGGGGAGAGAACAGAACTGTTCAGTCAGTGAGGGATAGATGCCCAGGGGAACAGATGTAGATGTGGTTACTCCAAGATGTTTGGAGATGGTGCGTGTGTGTGTGTGTGTGTGCGTGTGTGTGTGTGTGTGTATGGGGGTGGGGGTGGGGGTGGGGGTGAGGTACACTACCAAACTCATCACTGAGTGAAGAAAGAACTTCTTCTCAAACTGAAAGGAGTCTCAGGAGAGGCTGGTGAGGGAGGAGCAGTTCAAATTTCCGCAAAGGTTGGTGGTTTGTCTCTTAGTCAGCAGATTCTGCCTTGAGTGTCTTTCATTTTAGATTAACTCGTTTCTTCTGTCAGCCATCAGTGGTCCATTGAAAGCTACAAATTGATGTTAATGAAAAAGTTTTGGCTAATTATTGTGGTTTCTTTAGTTTTTTCAAATTTTGGGGGTTGGGATGAACTCTTAGGGGACAGTAGTAAGGGAGAGCATATAGGAGCTGAGGTGTATGGAGCTCAACTTGACCAGTTTTTTCATTTTCCCTAGAGTAGATATTTTAACTTGTCCTTGAGTGGTATGTTTCTTGTCAGACTGGGTGGTTTACGGTGAGATCTCTGTAATCCATCACCTATGATGCTGTTCGCCTAAAGCCTGGGGAAGCATTATTGACTGTTTCTGCAGTAGAGGGCTGTGGGGGCTCTCCATGGGGCAAACATTCTATCTAATCACTTGGCCTCCAGCCTTGACAATAATGTCATTAGAGCTGGCACCACCAGTGACTGCTCCATCACCACTTTGCATTGGACAGGATGAAGGGAAACAATGGGATTAGAGTTGATTAAAGCTGAGCTGCATCCTTTCTAGGCAGCAGTGGGGGGTGTAGGCTGCAGCGTGGGCCTGAGGTGAGCACAGAGTGGACCATCTGGTAGTTTGGGCAGGGGAGGAGGGGCACTGGGAGAGCCTAGCAAGGCCCCCTAGGAGGGTGATGAATGAGCAACATCTAGGTGTTTACATGGTCTGGTGCTGCCTGCCAAGGGGAACCGCTTTCTATACAGCCAACACAGAGAAAAGGCAAGTGAGAAAGATGGGAGGGAGAGCCAAGGGGAGGGAGGCAGCCATGGGCAGAAAGTATCGAGGAGGAGAGAGGGAGATAGGGGACAGGGAAGAGTTACCTTCCTGGTGCTATAATATGCAATATTTCTGTCTGAAATCTGGTGCAAGGAGGCAGCGTCATCTGATCCACATGGAGCTCAGGTCTGCTTCTCATCCTTCCAGACACCTCCTCCCTACCACAGTCACCCTTAATTCCTCTCCTATTATTCCTAATAATCTCCTATTACTTTTTATCCCTTCTCTAACTCCTATCTGGACCCCATCCTTCCTGTTCTCTTGGCCACCACCCCTCCATCCTCATCCTATTGACATGTATGTCTCCCCCAGGGTTGAGGTTTCTGTACTCCAGGGCTAGGGAAACTGTAGGACCGGTTTTTGTCAGCCCAAGAGTAAACCAGACCTGATGGGGTGGGGGATAGGATGGGGGCACTCAGGGCCTGGCCACTTTGTAAAATTGTGTATTTTCTAAGCTGCGGGTGAGCTTTTCTAATCACTCTTTTGGAGAAAAACAGTCCTAATCCTTAAAGCAAAAACCTGGTTTGTATCATTCTGGGGTGTGCAATAATGTTGGGCTTGTTTTCTTGGGGTGTCTGGGGAGGGGTGGGTTTATAGGATCTCTTCTTTTTCCTTTTTCCTTTTTTTTTTTTAAAGCAAAACTGTACAGAGCCCCTAGGGTTCCATCACCTGGTTCTGTTGATAGAATTTTTATATTTTTGTAGAATTCTCTTAGCTGTTTGTCCATATCCTTTCCCTGAAAGGATATGGGAGAAGGGGAACAGGGGTTGGGGATTTTTCTCCCCTATGGGTGGGTGGGGCTCTACTCTAGATCAGAGGAGGCCCCACCTACTATGGCCAGAGAACTGGACCTAAAGATAGCCCACTCCTCTCCCTTTTACCACCTCTCTTATTCCCCTGCCCCCACTCTTCCCTCGGATTCCCTATTACTTATTCCCCCAGCCTATCCCTAGCACACCAGCACTTTACAACTGTGGAGTTTCTTACTTTTATCTTTTGGGGGGTTTCTCTCTTCAGTGGACCCTGGGGGGAAGACAGAAAAGGGAAGAGTCATGGGTTCTAAGCAATTCAAAGACCCTTCCCCCACCCCCACCCCCATCCTCTTCTCCCTTGCAGGGGCCAAAATAGCTTCTATGGTTTGTTGTATGAGATGGGGTTGTTTGGAAGCCAAAAAGCTGAAGATATATTTCAGGTGAGGGGGGAAAAGGCTCTCCCTCCCCTCTGACTCCAGCCAGGGTCTGTTCAGCTGGAAGGCTATGGTGAGACAGAATTCTCTGAAATTCTCTGGTTTCTTGTTATTACACCTCAAGCCCAGAGGGGACAGTGCAGGAGAGAGATGCGGTAATACGGTAATTGTGGGGTCAGAGTGAATTTTAAAAAATACCACAAATAAGTGTAAAACTTGTACAAACGATGGAAACCCCGTGTGACTCTTGAAGGGGTTTTGAAATGAAAATCATGATGGCTCTGAATAATATTAACAATAATAGTAATAATAATAATGATGATGATGATGATAAATAATCTTGTTGTCTGTCTCGATGATTATTTGCTTCGTCGGTCCTGGGGCTGGGAGGATGTGAGTGATGAGACTAGCAGGTGATGTTGGTAGCACTCTTAAGTTTTGCAAAAGTGTTTTTTACAAGCATTATCTCATTTGATTTACGCAAAGACCACGTGAGGCAAGTGTTGCTATTCCCATTTTACAGATAAGAAAACTGAGTCTCAGAAAAGTGAAGTTAACTTCTCCATGGTCGCAGAGCTAGTAAGTGTCAGAAACTGGGTTGTGACCTCAGGTCTCTAGTGACTCCCAGAACAGCATCCTTTTTCCTGCTCCGTTCTGTCTCGGTGGGAGGCTAGGGGATATGGGGTAGGGTGATGTGGAGATGCAGGTGGGACTGAGCCCTCTCCGAGAGACTAAGCATTGGAACTGGGGACTGGGAAGATGGATTGCTTTTGAATGAGTTTGGAGACAGGGTGACCTCATCTGAGCTGGGCAAGAGCACCCCCCACCCACACAACAGAAAGTGATACAATATCTAAAGGAAAGACTAGCTGAGGTGTCCCAAGAAGCCTGCCCGCACACACTGCCTGCCCCACTGAAGGGTAAACCCTGGAATGAGAGCAGAGACCAAGGATCATCAAGGTAGGCAGCATAGGAGGGTATGACGTGGGATTGGGGGATGAAATGGAATGAGGGACACATTTGAATACTGCTCTTTATAAATGCACACATTTTTGAATGGTAGAAAATTCCTTCTCTGTGGCCTAAAGGCATTTATTTTGAGATAAATCCAAGCATGCATGCTACAGTAAAAGTCTTCAGTGTCCAGAAACACACAGGAGGCACAACTTTTAAACATTTTCCAGGTCACAAAAATACCTTATCCTGGCGCTGAGTATATTTATGGGGTTACCTTCCCCATCCTTTCCTACCCTTTCCCACACCCACCAACCCACACTTCCCTGTCCAGAGGAGTACCTATGGCAGAGGGTCTTAACTTGGGACCTACATGGAGAGATTTCAGGGGGCCCATCAATTTAAAAAAAATAGGTTGATCACTATATTTTAATATAGTTTCCTTTGTAATCCTATATATTTTATTTTCTATATTTAAATACATTATTGTGAGAAGGGGTCCATAGACTTCACCACACTGCCAAAGGGGTTCGTGATACACAAAAATATTAAGAAACCCCTGCTCTAGGCTGGGTATGGGAAACTAAAGAAACTGTTCTCAGTCAGCTCTTAGTAAAAATCTTCCCATCCCTCCCCTGAGGATTTTGGGGAGCAGTCCATAGATGGTACTTATAAAATCTGAAGTTCATATCCATAGGTCAGACCACCTATCAAGTTTGGGGTGGGGTACACTTCCCATGAAGACACTCAGGCTATTCATCTCCCTCGAGGAATTTTCTTCTAATTTGGGGCAGTCTTTGAGTTAGCCTGAATAGAAACACTGAGATGGGAGAAAATCCACTATGATTTTCTCCACACCCACACCTTTCCCCATCCCAAACTCCACTAGGGATGGCCTTAGACTAGCTTCTTTCCCTGAATCCTGAGTCTTAACAGTGAATTTCCTTCAGAATGATGGGAATTTCATTTGTTTTTTTCTGATTTGCACAATACCTACCCACCCCGTACCCCAAGAAGAAGTAATGGGACAAGAGCATGGGGATTGAATGTTTTATGGGGGAAAAGGGCTCAAAAGCCCCTCGGGAAAAATACCCTCATGCTTTAAGGACTTCTTCATCACAGAAAAAAAAAAATCAACTTTGTTTCCCAGGATTGAAGCCAGTTTGGGGATGATGGAGAGGCTTACCCAGGACTGAGAGACACAAACGCTTACAGTGTGGGTATCCCATTTCCAAGCTGGAGAGTGGGGCCCTGAAGCTATTCACAGA